ATCGTTTCTTTATTACTTTAGGCAACACAAAGAAACAGTCAAATAAAAACTTGTTGACCACGTTGACTTTTCCTCTCTAGGATGGGGTTTCGATGTTCGATCTTGAAGATGATGATGGTCAATGATAGGATCAACCTTCGAGTTTGATTCTTCCTTGTCTTCATCGTTTGTCTTTCTTGGTTCGGAGGTAGGGTTTATTCATTTTGGTTTTCACGTGTTTTGGTTTCCATTGGTTTTTTTAGGGTTTCTTGCATTACCGTTTATGGGCTTACGTTTATGGTTGATGTTCGATTGGTTTGTACGTCTGCTTCCGTGTTTATTTGATCGGCTGTGGTGTATGGTTTTTCCTGAGGTTGCGATCTAGGGTTTTGATACCACTAGGGTTTCTTCCAGTTTTATTTTTGTGGCTATCGCTTTTTGGCCACGGTTTTGTTTTGGCGTTGATCTGCTGCAGCTAAGTAGCTGCTGTTTCGATTTTAACAGCGGTTCTACTTTCCTTCTGTTTGGCTTGTGTTGAGACTGAGTTTGTGGCTATCGCTTTCTGGCCACGGTTTCTGCTTGTCTTGTGTTACGACTGGTTTGTTCAGGTTTTTTGTAGGCGGCTTAACGTGTGTATCTCTCCTGTTTGAACTATCTGGTTGGTGCTGTGTTGGTAAAGTTTTTATGGTATTGGTATTGATATCATTCACTGGTTTCTGCCACGATATTGCTTCTGCCGATTCTATATTTCTGTGCTGCTGATCGTCGAGGACCCTCGTGCCGACTCTAGATCGTCAAGGACCCTTATTCTTCTGGTTTCTTCTCGTTTGGCCACTATTGGCTGTATTTGGGCTGTTTTACGTATGATTTTATGTGAGCTGCTCCTCTCTAAAGCTGCTGTTTCGGGCTGTGCTGTAGTTGCTGTGCGGTTTTTCTGTTTTCTGTAGCTGCAGCGATGTGTTGTGAGGTATTTGCTGTTTGATCCCGTATCTTGCTGTTTGTTTTGCTGGTATCCCGTGTTCTGGTTGTTTGCTGCTACCATTTGCTGCTGTGAATCTGTTTTGGTTGCACCTTCTCATTTTCTATTTCTTACGTTCATTCTAAGTGTTTCCTTGGTCTTCGTCATTTTTGTAGAACTCCCTTGATAAATATTCAGCACCCTAGTTTCTAGGGTCTTCGTCTATTCTATTAAGGGCACAATACGAAAATTTCAGCACCTAGGCTTCTTAGAGTGTTCCATGGAAATGGGGGATGTTTCGGTCCCACCTTCTGATCCTACCCGTATCTCGGTTTTCGATCGACTTTCACATCTTGGTATTGATGTTGCGGATAATGTGCCTTTGGGTTCGGAGAATCTGGCCAGAGAAAAGTTAAATTTTGCCAAAGCTGTGGGACAAGCGACTGACACAATGTTAAACTTCTACCCTTTAGTGGATAAGAATCAGGTGAGTGTGAAAATACCTATTGAATTGGCTAAGGAAACTGCTAAAGCGTATAACTCGGTTTTGTATGGATATTTTCTGGGTCCGCGCATACCGTTTCACTTGGTGAAAAATTACGTCAAACTGGCATGGGGAAAATATGGTTTTAAAGATGCTATGCTGAATGAAAATGGTATTTTCTTTTTTAAGTTTAATGATATTGGTGGATGTGATCAAGTAATTGATGCAGGCCCGCTAATGATAAGAGGCATACCTCTTTTTGTTCATCGATGGGATCCTTCTAAGGGGTTACGGAAACCTGTTCATACCTCATGCCCGTTATGGGTAAAATTGCACAACATCCTCTTGGTTGCTTTCAATAAAGAGGGTGTCAGTCGCATCGCTAGTGTGTTGGGGGTTCCGAAGCAAATGGATTCCTGTACGGCGGCAATGTGAGAAAAGGCATGGGGTCGACCGGGTTTTGCAAAAGTTCTTGTTGAGGTATGGGCTATCGGTGACTTAAAAAGACAAATTGAGGTTGAAATCCTTGATCTCAATGGAGGGGTAGCTGACAATGTGCAAATCCAGGTGGAATATCTATGGGAACCAGTTCAATGTTTCCATTGCAAAGTTTTTGGACATAAATCGTCCTCTTGCCCTAAATCTGTAATCAAAGGCAAGCATGTGGAGGGGAGGAAAGATGCAGAAGGCTTTGTTAGAGTGGAAAAGAAACAGTGGAGCGCTAAAACAGGAGGTAATGCTAAAAAATTTGTTCCTCGGCAAGATAAAGTTATGGAAAGGCAAGTCCCTATGCCGGAGGTTGTGGGCGCCAGTACCTCGGGTAAAGAGGTAATGGATGATCGTAATAAGGGCATTTCTTTGGATCCTTCTAAGCAACCTGGATGTTATGAGACGAATAAAGGCCCAGGTACGCTTTCTGTTGGTGTTGATTCTGGGTCTTCTTCCACACAGTCTTCCCACTCTACACATTCTAGTACTCAGGCCACTCCCCTTATTGATTCTATGGTTAAAAACTTTCGGTTGGCCCGGAGGGGTGTAATACGTGACCCCCCCTTAGCTGCTAACAAATTTGGTGTTCTTGAGAAGTTGGGTGACGTGGAACTTCATGGGGGGGCCAAACCGAGGGGGTAACAGACCAGGATGTTAGCAATTCGACTGAGGATTGCCGAGAGAAAGGAGTTGTTTCAAATACCTCATCATGTTGAATTTTGCTTCATGGAACATCCGGGGACTTAATTCTCCGGTTAAACAAAAAGAGGTGAAAAACTTTATTCATTGTAATGATTTGTGTTTGTGTTCAATAATAGAATCTCATGTCRCTAGGGATTCCYTTGAGAATKTTTSBTCTTYTATTTTTGGTCGGTGGTCTTGGATTTCTAACCAAGTGGAATGTGATTMTGGAACTCGTATTATCATTGCATGGGATTCACGAGTTTTAGATGTTATGCTTTTGGAGGTGCACAATCAATTCCTGAATTGTAAGATTATCTTACGAGATAATCAGGAGGCTTTCTTTTGCTCGTTTGTTTATGGTGCCAATGTATGTAATGCTAGAGACAATTATGGTCGGGATTGAGGAAATTTAAGGTCTTGATTGGAGCGCAACCTTGGGCCATAATGGGGGATTTCGATACCATGCTTTTCCCTCATGACGGTTTTGGTGGATCCTCTCGTCGTAATGCTGACATGGCGGATTTTTTTGCTTGTATTGAGGATGTTGAAGTTTTTGATCTAAATTACACAGGTGTCCATTACTCATGGAACCAAAAGCCGAATGCTTCTGGGGGTATCTTGCGTAAATTGGACATAATTATGGCTAACTCAGAGTTTACTTCTAAATGCCAAGATATTACTGTTCATTTCTTTCCGGCTGGTCTTTCGGATCACTCTCTGGGTGTTTTATCTTTTAAAGGAGGCGCTCGAAAAAGGAGGTATGGTTTTAAATTTGATAATTTCCTGACAGAACATCCGGATTTCTTGCAGATTGTTCAAGAGGAATGGTCTAAGTATATTGAGGGATCCTTTATGTTTCGGGTTACTTCTCATCTGAAAACTCTTAAGGTCCCTTTTCGTAAGCTGAGGAATTCCTATGGAAATCTTGGGCAGCGTGTTGCTTTTCTGAAAACTGAGTTAGACCGGATCCAGATCGATGTGGATAATGATCCTTCTAATGCTGATTTGGGGAGGGATCTTGGGGATATTCGTCTGTCGTATCAATTGGCTTGTTGGGATGAAGAATGTGCTGCTAAGCAGCGTGCCAAAGTCAAATGGTTAAATGAAGGCGACTCGAATACGAAGTTTTTCCATAGGGTGATTAAAGAACGTCATCACTCTAACTCTATCATGTCTGTATGTAATAGTCGGGGCAATTATGTTTCTGGCGATGATGTCCCTAAAGAATTTGTGGATTATTTTAAGAGTTTCTTTGGTGTTCGGAATGTTTCTAYAGACCCGGTCRTGRCTAATATTTCTTTTCCAAGGAAGTTAATTCTGTCAGAAGCTCTTGATATGATTCGGCCGGTCACGAATGAAGAAATTAAAAATGCTATGTTTAGCATTGGAAATCATAAAGCCCCAGGCTCTGATGGGTTTTCTTCAAAAWTTTTCAAGGCGTCATGGGGAATCATTGGCCGTGATGTGGAGATAGCGGTCCATAATTTTTTCTATCGAGGTAAGCTCCCGAAAGAACTGAACCATACGCTTATTTGTCTTATTCCTAAATCTGCTAATGCTTCTAAGGTTACGGACTACAGGCCTATAGCTTGTTGTACTGTTCTCTATAAATGCATTAGTAAAGTTATTGCTAATRGAATGAAGGGGTGTCTGGATTCTCTTATTGATAAGTCCCAGTCGGCTTTTATTCMGGGTAGGAGGATAACGGATAATATCCTTATGGCTCATGAACTTGTTACTGGGTATCAGTCGTTGGTTGGCCCTCCTAGATGCGCGTTTAAAATAGACATTAAAAAGCTTATGACATGGTGGATTGGAATTTCCTCATTGTTATGTTACAGGGGATGGGATTCCATCCGGTTATGGTTAATTGGATAAGGGAGATGGTTTCCACTACTTCTTTTTCTCTGGCGATAAATGGCAATTCTTACGATTTTTTCCAAGGGGGTCGGGGTCTTCGGCAAGGGAATCCTTTATCCCCATATCTATTCACTATTGTCATGGAGGGTTTCTCTATGATTCTTCGGCAATGTATTCAAGAGGCTTCTGATTTTGGATATCATCGGGGTTGTGAAGATCTGAATATTACGCATCTTTGCTTTGCGGATGATCTATTTGTTTTTACTAAGGGCGATGTCCAGTCGGTGGAGGTGCTTAAAAAGGCTCTTTGTATTTTTCATAAACGATCGAGGTTAGAACCTAGCCTTGAAAAGAGTGAGGTCTTCTTTGGGAATGTGTCTCCTAACATTAAGGAGACCATTCTTGAGTGTCTCCCGTTCAAACAAGGTATGTTTCCTGTTCGTTACTTGGGTGTCCCTTTATCTCAAGCTAGGTT